CCAAGGCTCATGTTACCCTCTCAAATCTCGTCTCAAATTAAACATGAATAGCACATTTGGGTACCTAAAATGTTTTGGATTTCCCTTCTTTCCATTTCTTTTTATAACAAAATTCTTCTAAGTGTCCTAATTTTCTGCAGTAAGAACATTCATATATATGTCGATGTTGTCTTCTATTTGTTCTCTGGTTAGAGTGATACATTGACCTAGGTTTATTCATTTCAGTAGTTTTTCCAAAATGTGCATTATTTCTAGAGTAATGATGCTTAAAAATTGGATTATACTGTCTCCTATAAACATTGGAAGAGTATTTCCAAACAATTGAGTCTAGTTTCTTTTTCAATGACTCATTTTTATTTAAGAGATCATGCAGCCTCTTATTCAAATCAGTGTTCTTTCTATGTTGAATTTGAATTACCCTATTTAATTCTTGCACTTCTTTCAATTTTGATTACAGTTCACTCATGATCATGCAATTTTTACTTTTCAATAAATTGCATTCATTCTTCACATTAGATAAAGTGTTACCAATATCTATATTAGTTCTAGGCACATATTCGATTTCAGAATCAGAATCATAAAGTACTTGGTGACCATAGCTGCTGTTGCTACTCCCATTGCTTGAGATTCCCTCAGACTTTGTTGCAAATGCCATATATGCAATGTTTTCCCTCGGTAAATCGTCATCGGAACTATAATTACTCCGAGATACAGCCATTGCCTTTTCTTTGAATTTCACAGATGTGGGAAATCGGATCTTATATGGCTAGCATTGGCACATTTGAAAAAATTTAATTCTTTTTCAGAAGAAAATTTTTCGGGCTTGAAAAATTCACTTTCAAATCTTTCCAATCGGGTTGGATATTTTTCAAATCTCTGCTGACTTGTGCATTTTTCCCTTTCAAAATGTTATTTGTAATTGCAAGGGTTGTTTCCAAATGATCGAAATTCTTTGGAACCCGAAATTCTTAGTGTATTTTCCTTCAGAAATTTCAGCATACTATGATACTTTTTACCTACGAAAGCCAGTTCTCTGGAAAAATCATCGTCTAATTCATCATAAGATTCAGAAGCATAGTTTTGAGTTTTGAAAGCAATATTTCTCCTTCTCTTTTTATCATCACGATTCATTTGATTTATGACATCTTCATGGCTGAGGAGAGAACCAATAAGATTTTCAATAGGTAGCACATTCAAATCTTTAGCCTCTTCAATAGTCGTACGCTTTGGCATCCATTCTCTAGTAAGAGACCTTAAAATTTTTCTAACTAGTTCTTTGCTTGAAAAACTTTTGTCAAGTCCTTTCAACTGATTAACCAAATCATTGAACCTTTTGTACATGTCGGATATAGATTCATCTGAAAACATTTGGAAAGATTCATATTCATTTAGAAGAACATCAATCCGAGTTTCTCTTACCTCAGACGTACCTTCGTGGGTTATTTGGAGAGATTCCCATATTTCCTTGGCGGATTCTGATTGTGCAACTTGGCTTCTTTCGTCGGGGCATAGAGCAGAGAGGAGTATATGCATTGCTCTCGAGTCAAGCTGGGCATTGATCTTCTGTTCTTTACTCCAGGATTCTTCATTTTCTTCATCCATGGCGATTACTCCTTTGCGGATAATTCCCCATAAGTCGTTGTCGATTCCTCTCAGATTCAGACGCATGTGTTTCTTCCAGGTAGCATAATCGGTTCCATCGAACAAAGGAGGGAATGATATTGGCGAGAAGGTACTGGAAGATGAAGATGGACCAGCCATGGAGCGTTTCTTCTTGGCGACAATTAGTCCAACAAGAAGGCAGCTCATATACCAATTGAGATTCTAAGGCTGGGATTGGGCTATTAGGAGTTTGATTTAAGAGATGAACAGACAAAGAACAAATAAAGTTCTTATTGAATTGAAATAGAGAAATAGAAAATTTGGAAATTATTTCCTTAGTTTTGCCTATTCTGCAGTCATTATGGCTGCTTTTCAAACCAGAAATACAACGAAAAGGTAAAAACAAGAGAAGGGCTGAAGCAGAGGACTGTGAACAACAAATTGAAAGGAAAATGAGATGGAACAAGTGAATCTTCCCACTCCTATCTACCCAGAAACCCTTCTCCGTAGAACGGGAGGAAGAAAGAGGATTTGAACACAAAAGACTCTAAGAGTACTTCCCAACCCAAGATTGCCCAGAGTTACCACTGTAATCCTGGAGTACTGAAGAACTCTATAGAGGAATCCATTACAACCCAAAGACACCTGCTTTCTTGTTGTAAACTGTTAGGTTGAGAAGAAGGATCTTGAGTTGCTTAAATAGCCCATCAGATGACCGTTGGAGAGGCTGCTCATGCTTCTTAAAAAGTGAATGCCATTGAAAGGAACAAGAAGCATGCCTGCTTTGTGCCATGAAAAAGTTGCATATGCTTTTGCCTTTTTAGACTTTTGCTTTTCTGCTTTTGGAGAAGAATGGTAGCAAGGTGTAGGACGATTAAGAGACTTGGAAGCTTGTTGCAGTGGGCGGAAATGTGTTGCTTGTGGGTTGATGCTTGACGAAATTAAGTGGGCCAAGTCCAACACTATCTAGCTACTTCCCTACCCATAAAGGAGTTAGACAGTGAAATCCGTTGTCTCCATATCTTTTCATAGTGGCTCTTATACCTCTCTCTAGAATGTTAGATATTTCTACTTAGAATTGCCAAATCTCCTATCATCCGCAATACAATGCTTTTAATCTCACACATTTTAGTTTCACTGACGATGTATTGATCCTAATTGAAGGGTCAGATGATGATCTACTTAATGTGAAGCAGATCCTAGAGCAGTTTTATCATCTTTCTAGTCTCAATTGTAATCCTAATAAGTGTAAGCTTCTTTGGAGGAGGGGGTTGCAACCTCTGTTTACAAACACAATGCTCTGTCACTCAATGGGTTTAAAGAAGGTATTCTCCCTGTTTGCTACTTAGGACTGTCATTATTGTCAGGAAGTTTGTCGAGTAGAGAATGTGATGTTCTTGTTGATAAGATAACTCAAGAATTCGTTCTGTAGGTCCAATACACTCTCTTATGTGGGTCGACTACGGCTTATCTCATCTGTTAGCTACTCGATCATTCAGTTCTGGATGTCAATCCTCATCTTGCCTAGGAAGGTTCTTGACCACATACACAGGATTTGCTCCGACTTCCTTTGGCATGGGGACCGATCAAGGAAGGCTAAAGCCTCGTGGGATATGTTAGCAATCCTAAATAAAGAAGGAGGATTAAGCCATAAAGGCTTGTTTGTTTGGAATATCACTTGTTTGGCTCCTCTCCTTAGGATGATTTTCATGCGAGGGAGGGGGAGTTTTTGGGTGGCTTGGATTGAAAGGTTTCGACTGAAAAGTTGTTCAATATGAACTCTTTCATCATTTTCCTGATGCTCCTAGATTTGTCAACATGTCTTTAAACACCGAACCTGGTTCATGTATAATTTTGGTGTGGATCAGGAGGGCATGATCACATGAGAAGGTAACCAAACCCATTACTAAAATCGTAGTCTTCCCCATAACCAAAACTATAAAGGATGTACTATGACATACCAAAATCAACTCATATGTGGTTCAGGGAAAATCCACCCATACCATCACTAAACAACATATATATATAAATTCTTGATATAATCTAATTTTTTTAGAATGTCAATATTAATTGAATTTTCTTTGTCACATTTTTTTGTAAAAATGATAGTAAATGAGTAAGATGTGAGGTTTAAGATATAATTATAATATTTGAGGGATATTAATGGATAAAGTGTTCAAGTGAGTGAGTGTAAAACATACTATAACATATTCGGGTGAGTTTAGCGTGGATACTTAAAATACCAAAATATCACCAAATCCATTACCCTCCTCGTCGGTTTCGGCAAAAACCCATCCAAAAATAATATTGGTTAGAGTTTCCTAAAAAGGATGGATATGAATTCGGTTGGGTTCCCATAGTGATGAGTTATTTTGTCATTCCTTGCTGTTGGTCGCATTTCCTAGAGTGAGCGTTGATCGATACTATAATTGTTTCGAGAATTTCGTATTAATTATTCAGTATCTATATTGATAAGAAATAAAAAAATGAAAATTATTACTAAGTAATTATCTAATATAATTGACAATTTTGATTCCGGGAGTAATTGTCTTTCTAAATAATACGTGACTTATTTCCCACGAAAGAGGGAGACTCGAGGGTTTATGCTCCTATAAATAATAGGACTCTCAGACCCTCTAAACACACAATTCAAGAGTTCAAAACAGAAATAGAGTGTTTTTTTAGAGATCTCTGGTTTTCGTACGAGCCACAGAAAGAAGAGTGGTTGTTTTACCATTAAAGCGACTGATTGATAGTTTAATGTGTGCAATACGACTATACAAATCAATGTCGTGAACGTTTTAAAGAGAATAACCTAGTATGGAACTTAGTCAGAGCGATAAACTTTATTTTTCGTGTTAAATTTCTAACAGGTCATGCCACATAGGCACATATTATAGTCAAAGTGATGATCACACTATTGGCGATGTGCTCCTCCCTTAATTGTAGACCACCAAATCAGCACATAGATGTTCCAAGTTTACCGACCTCCTCAATTCATCCGATATGCGGTCAGGAAAACACTCTAGTCTTACCTGCACCCTCCCAACCAACTGGAGGCAGCCACGAAGCCTCACCGTTGAACGGATCATTAAATTAAGCAGACCAAACGGAATCTCCATTTCAATTTCTAACCAAAAAAAAAAAAAAAGAGAATCTCCATTCCGGAATTGACCAGAAAGCCTAGCCACGGCCACGAGATTCTCGCCTCCCAGTCCCTCTACTTTCAAACCCCGCCAAAATGACGTGTGCACCTACGTGTGCCCTACCCAAACCGAGCAAAATTAAATAAGCTTCAAAAATCAAAACCTAGAGAACATTTCATTACTTTATTATATTATTATTTATTTATTTTCATCACGCTCTCCGTGCCTTTTCGTGTGCCCTAAAATTAGAGTATCGAGGAAAACAAGAAAAAATCAAAAGAAAAATAAAGAAATGAAAATAAATCGGCGAAGCGAGTGGCGGAATCTGGACTGGACTGTAGCGAGGCAAAGAAAGAAGGCAGGCGGAGCGTGGGCGAGAGGAAAGAACCGAGGCGGTCGTTACGATAAAGAAAAGCGCTTGTAGAAGAGGTCGCCTCCTCCCTTTTCATATTTGCTTATTCCTCTCTTCCTCCAGTTTCAATTCTGGCGCTGGCCAACACCATGGCGAGAAGAAGAGTCGCGTGTCTGAATTCGTAACCCCAAACCGAAAAATCAAATTCCAGTTCGAATAAATCTCACGCTCTTCTATTCTATTCCCTCCAGAATCTCCTCCTCCTCCCTCCAATTCCAATCTCGCCGGAGCTCTCCGGTATCTGATTCCTCTCCCCTCCGTCTCTTGTTTCGCTTTGCCTCTCCGTTACCGCTCCTGCCTCTTCCGTTCTCTTCTGCTCTTCGTTCGACAGGTAATTCTCACCTGCTTTCCCCTTCTCCGTACCATGTGATTGCTTTGGCGTGTGCTGAAACAGAGAGAAAGCATGGCGGACGCTATGGTGTTGTAGGTTGTCAATCTTACGTTTGCTTGGAAAACGGTTGTTTAATTAGGTTCTAGGATTTGAGTTTCTTGATTGCGTAGGGCTCGAGAAATCTCCGTTATGATTCTATGTCTTTTGAATAGCTACAACGACGGGGGATTTGATTTTGTTTGTGGAGCCGTCTTATCTAATTGCTGATCCTTTAGCTCATACAAAAGTTGTTTTAGGGTTTCAGCCTGTTGAATCCAACAGGGCGATATATATGTCGTTCTGACTCTTCGATGATTGGGGCAATTTTCCAATATATGAGTCGAAACCTATTCTGTGGTGTTGGTCAAGTAATTGATCCAACTGGAGGCGCGGTGAGGGTCAATTTCGGGGTTAGGACCTTAATTCTTGTGAAAAGAGTTGAAGTTTCTTCACTCTTGGATTCCATTACAGTCTCTCCTTTGTATTCGATGGAGCTGCTGATATGATATCCATCTTCAATGCTTTATCTTCCCTTGTTTGTCCTCTTATCTTGATAGAGGAGGCATGAATATGTCTCTGCGCTGCACCATTTATTATGCTTCTCCTTCTTGATTCATCTCTACTTCAAGGTAGAGCTTGAAGCTTATGGCTGCCTAGGGCTAACCCATCAAGCAATCTCTCTCATTGTTGAAGCTATTTGATGGTTTCTTTTTGCTTGTGTTTATTTGTTGGTGCAGAGCCATGCCTACATTTAGTGCTATAGCGTTGGACAGGTTGTTAGAACCTGGAGCTTCTAAATCCGTTGACAAGTCTACTCCACCCAGCGGCTACTTAGTTGCAAAGCCAAAACCTCCTCCACCTCGTTCCACTTTGCACAGGAGAAACAGCACCTCAATCACAGAGAGGAGTCCTCATCGCCCTCAGCTAACCCCTTCACTGTATACAACTCCTGAAGCAACTCCTGTTCCTCCTAGTTCTCCCACTTCTTATACCTCCTCACCCTATATTATCAACCACAAGCGAAGGGGTCCACGCCTTTCGAAGAGCGCTTCTGTAGATAACATTGCATCTCAAAGAAAGGCCTTAGATAAAGACGAAGCTGAGGGGAGCTCGAAGAGTGCTGAATCTCAGGTGGATGATGTAGCTAGGGAGAAGCCTGCTGCTTTGGCTCGCTTGGACTTTGACAAAGCGGAACCTAAGACGGTGATTCCTGAGATTTCCAAGGAAAAGGAGCTTCCTAATGGCATCCGCAATATGTCTCCTAAAGCGTTGCAAATCAATGGTCACCATGAGGGTGCAAAAGCGAGGAGTAATGGGAAAGTTGGAATTACTAACTTGAGGCATGGCATTCTGAAGGAAAATGATAGTTCAGGTGCACGAGATAGCGATATTGAGGACTTTTTTGACCCACAGGAATCAATGAGTCATGCTAGCAACACCGACAGTGAAGATAATATTGGATCTTCTGCTATGCAAAGTAGCAGTGTGCAAATGGCGGAGTTTTTTGATGCTTGGGAAGGTACACTGCTCTTCTTTCTATATTCTCCGTTATATTACTTACTGCCTTCGCAAGCTGAATTCTGACATTCTGTAGGATGGTGAAGGGTTCAGTCTATTCTGCTAATGTGGCTGTTCTTTTTGGTTCTTCATATCATTTCAATCTTGTCTACTTTTGCATGTTCTTTTTAAGGTTGCTTAAGTTGGGAATCTGTTTTAACATAGTGATAGGAGCATGCCTATACACATATAGAGGTCTTATCATGTGTGGCTATCTGTCTAGTGAACTTACTTCCGGTTATTTATCATCTCAGAACTTTCGTCTGAAAGTGGGATACAGTCTGCTCTCCATGATTTTCAATCTGAACTACGGGGAACAAGATTGAGTTTGTTGATGGAGATAGAGAAGCGCAGGCAAGCGGAGGACGCACTGAAAACCGTGGAAAGCCAATGGCAGAGAATCAGGCAACAATTAGCTCTTGCAGGATTGACTGTTCCGCGTTGTCCCATTGATGTGGCTGAGAGTGATGAACCAAACAGTACTACTGATCCTGCAGAGGAGCTGTGCCAGCAGCTCGATGTAGTTCGCTTTGTATCCAGCTCTATTGGACGGGGCATTGCAAGAGCTGAGATGGAGGTGGAGATGGAAGCACAGCTAGAGGCGAAGAATTTTGAGATTGCACGATTAGTTGACCGACTTCGTTATTATGAGGCTGTGAATCGAGAAATGTCTCAAAGGAATCAAGAAGCTGTAGGTAAGAAATTCAGTGCCTGCTGTGTTCTACTTTAAATTCTATTTCAATCTGTGCATTTGATTTTGGAGCTAGGTAATTCTTGGCACTTGGAGGATTTTCCATTGAAGCAAATAGTAGAAGTAGCTGGGTGTTTGGATTTTTTTTTTAACAAGTAAATCTGTTGACTTGTTGGGTTGATGAAATTATTGAAATATGTGCGAAATGACTAAAATGTTTGCACAAGCTCCTAGAGTTTTACAAAAAAAAAAAAAAGGGCGGAAGCATAGAGAAAGATAATGTAAGAGAGGAAGGTGGGTGCCGGGTGGGGAGATGGGGTGGACATCAACTAAAATAAAATTCTATAGTTTGACGGTGTATCTGATTGAGAAATTTATTACTTGACAAACTAATTGAATCAGATGGGGATTAATAGTCTGATTGAATGCATGGTTCTTAGTGGCATGGCATGACTGGTTAGCTTGCTAATCAATTTTCATCTCGCGCCATGGAAAGAATACTCCAGTCTGTTTGCCTTCCATCTAATGGGAACTGATCTTCTCTACTCTAGAGTTTATGTCAATCTGCATTTGATTTTGGAGACTTCTTTCTGGCATCGTAATGGCGCACTTGTTGATTACTATTCTGCTGGTTTCCTTGTGTAGAAATGGCTCGAAGGAATAGGCAGGTGCAGAAGAGGAGGCAAAGGTGGGTGTGGGGTTCTATCGCTGCTGCGATTACTCTTGGCACTGCAGCCCTAGCATGGTCATACCTTCCACCGAGAGACGGATCAGCAGCTTCAACCTCCAGCAGCTCCGTGGAAAGTGAGCAGCCCGATAGTGCAACTTCAGATTGAACCATCCTGCCTAGTCAGTGTTCTATATCAATCATAGAAGAATAAGAAGGTGGTTGTATATGACGTGGCACCGATACATCAGCGACCTCACTTGCATTTTCCTGCCTGCGGAGATTGCAAATCACTTGATAATGTCCAAATTATACCGTTTTACGCATAGCCATATCCGTTGTGGCAAGGCAATCCAGAAGAAGCCGTAATTTTTTTTGGTTTTGGTCAGTGATTCTATGTGTCATATTGGGATTTCTCCTACTCAGCTACATTTCCCCCTATTGAACTAGCTGATTGCTAGCACATATTTTGTGTCTGTTCTGCTAGGTTAGTCTCTTCCTAATTTGATTCATTTCCGGCACAAACACTATTTTAGAGATGAGTGTAGAAATACCAGTTCCTTGGGGCCAGGTGGTTTTTGCGTATTGAGGGGTTCTTTCTTGCTGGACTGAGTATTTGCATTTTCTCTGAAATGGCTCCGTCTTCCTCTCTTTAGGCTTCCGGACCAAACTCCCTTTTCAACATTCACTAGAATCAATATTCTTGGCTACGCCACACGGTCATTTAAGCACAATTGACATCTTTAAAAGTAGTATATTCATAAAGAAAATAATTATAGATTATAGAGCAAGTATAAATTTTTTGTTCAATAGATTTCTTGTTATCCAAGACAACTACAATCATTTCATAATGTTATTTACAAAACATAAGTTGAAAAAAATTACCTTAAAGTCCATCTAAACTATTCATTAGCTTTGTAAGTTCTATATCAAACTTGCCCCAAAGACATGCTTGTTTACAGATGATAATCATTATTTCATACATAAAATCAATCCATGCCCCTTATCTTTTGACAAATTCGAGCAATCATTTTAGAAAAAAGATGTCATAAATCCATCATCAATCCATACCCAACAAAACTGAAGTAATTTTATAAATATGTAGGATAAACTCACTACAGTTCTCTTCATCCTAAAAAAATTACAATAGTGGAAGTAAACTGTTGGGGGGTGTTGCTAAGAGACTCCCCGCAGAGAATAAGTAATACCGCGTCCAATCGACAACGTATGACGCTCTAAACCCGCTACGAGTATATAAAGGTATGAAACCCACCAATAGGAGGGGGTCTTCTTCCCTCTCCCCTCACTTTCCACTTTCTCCTATCTCTCTACACTTTATCTCTCTATCTATTCTCTCAACTCTCTCCACAAACTGATACTGACTTGATCGTCGGAGCTTAATCCGGGGGGCAACCCCGACTCTTTCACAGGTTCTCTCCCTCCCGACGGGATCGGACGAATGGATGACGAGTCAACCCACACCAACAATCATTATTGTTCATACCTCGAGCTAGTAGGTTCAAACAATTGGCGCCCACCGTGGGGCTAGATTCGGAGGTCCACTCGTTCGATTTCAGAGGACGGGAAAACCGATTCTACGGCGACAATATCATCCTTGTTTCCACCATTCGGCTCTACAAAAAAAAAATGCAGAAAAGTAATACCGCGTCCAATCGACAACGTATGACGCTCTAAACCCGCTACGAGTATATAAAGGTATGAAACCCACCAATAGGAGGGGGTCTTCTTCCCTCTCCCCTCACTTTCCACTTTCTCCTATCTCTCTACACTTTATCTCTCTATCTATTCTCTCAACTCTCTCCACAAACTGATACTGACTTGATCGTCGGAGCTTAATCCGGGGGGCAACCCCGACTCTTTCACAGGTTCTCTCCCTCCCGACAGGATCGGACGAATGGATGACGAGTCAACCCACACCAACAATCATTATTGTTCATACCTCGAGCTAGTAGGTTCAAACAATTGGCGCCCACCGTGGGGCTAGATTCGGAGGTCCACTCGTTCGATTTCAGAGGACGGGAAAACCGATTCTACGGCGACAATATCATCCTTGTTTCCACCATTCGGCTCTACAAAAAAAAATGCAGAAAAGTTTCAAAATTTTGATCGCCGGGAATAAATGCGGCATTGGAACTCTGGCGAGGAAAGGAAGAACGATTAGCCCATAGTCACTGGTCTAGTCACATCACCCTTCTTCTGCTCTCTCACAAACTCCATCTACCTTTTGTTATCAAAGTAAAAAAGCACACTGTTTACTACAGTGGGAGTCACATCAACATCACTTTCTCTTTTCCCAAGGCAACACAGTGAGACCTGTTTCCCAAGACCAAAGCTCTTCCGCGCGTTCAGTCCGTCCCAGCTCTCAAGCTCCCTGACGCTACTCCCCTTATCAGCCGCGCTCGAGCTCTCTCCGCGCGGGTAAAAGCAGCGCCACACAAAGAAGAAGCTGAACCAGCGAAAAAAAAAAAGAAAAAAAAATTCGTCAGTGGGAGTTCGAACCCGCGCAAGAATTTAAACAGTCTAGTATGCAAACCAGTAAGCTACAACAACAACTTGTGCTACAAGATGCGTCGCGCCTATATTTCACCAATCGACGATCAAGTGGGCCAATCAACACTCGCGGCCCAACAGTGCGCGACCAGCACATCGCTCCATATCAAGCATTGCACCGCGGCCCGCTCTGCTTCTGGCCCAACCCCGGCCCGCGTCCAAATCAGCCCACCAGCGCGCGCCCCACTCTGCTTCTGGCCCAACGCACGGAAGTCTGAAATAATTAAGATCGCCGCGAGGGTTCGAACTCACGTCAATCCTCCGCGTGTCAAGCAACAATACCAGTACGCTACGAACATTGTTTGTGATTCAAATGTGCAGCGCGCTATTTTAAAGTTTCTCAACTTCAACTCGCGGCCCACAACACTCGCGGCCCGACTCGCAGGCGGCCCAACTCGCGGCTCGCATCCTCTACGAGATCCGCCCCTCAAGGCCCGCCAAGCCCAAGCTCCGCTTCGCTTCAAAAAAGAAAATGGTTGTCGCCACGAGGGTTCGAACTCACGTCACTCCTGCGCATGTCAAGCAACAATACCAGTACGCTACAAACATTGTTTGTGATTCAAATGTGCAGCGCGCTATTTTAAAGTTTCTCAACTTCAACTCGCGGCCCACAACACTCGCGGCCCGACTCGCAGGCGGCCCAACTCGCGGCTCGCATCCTCTACGAGATCCGCCCCTCAAGGCCCGCCAAGCCCAAGCTCCGCTTCGCTTCAAAAAAGAAAATTGTTGTCGCCGCCAGCCTTCGAACCCGCACCACTCCTCCACAAGACAAGCATCCTTACCCGCAGGCTACAGTCGCGACTTGTGACCCTTTGGCACAGTACTCTCATTTTAACAACACTCCACGTGTAGATGAAGCCAAAGTCGCGCCCCAAACTCGCGGATCCGTGTCCGCCCCACCTTCATACTTCCGGCCTGCGCAACGTAGTGAAGCCGTAGAGTGAAAAGCATCACTCGCGGATCCGTGTCCGACCCACCTTCACAAAAATCATGCGCTTGATTGGGGATTTGAACCAGGGTTCAATCACTCGCGTGCAAGCAACATCACCAGCATGCTACAAGCGAGCCTTGTGTTTCAATGGTGCGGCGTCTGAATTTTAACATTCGCGCCCACTCAGTTCGAAAGAACAAAAAATAGCAATAGTCCAGCACTATTCGCGCCCACTCAGTTCTACGGAACAAAAAATAGCAATAGTCCCGCACTATTCGCGCCCACTCAGTTCGAAAGAACAAAAAGTCGCAATAGTCACGAACTATTCGCGCCCACTCAGTTCCACGGAACAAAAAATAGCAATAGTCCCGCACTATTCGCGCCACTCAGTTCCACGGAACAAAAAATAGCAATAGTTCCGCACTATTCGCGCCCACTCAGTTCGGAAAAAAAAAAAACATCTGGCAACCAAGCCCACTCGCGGTCGCGGCCCAACACTGCGCCGCGGTCCGCTCTGCCTTCATCTAAAAAAATAAAAAATAAAAAAATTTGATGCTCCCGTAGGGAATTGAACCCACACCAATTCTCAGTTAGACAAGCGACATAACCAGTATGCCACAATATTAATTGGTGAGAAACTAGGCGGAGCACTCTATTTCATCATCCGCAAGCCCAACTCGCGGCCCAACTCGCGCGAGCAAGCCCAACTCGAGGCCCCATCCGCGCAGCATCTTCCCCCAGCCAGCGACGCGCGCAAGCGGCCCGATTCGCGCGAGCACTCGACACGCGCAAGCCCAACTCGCGCAACATCTTCCCCCAGCCCGCGACGCGCGCAAGCCCAACCCGCGTCCGGCCCGCGTCACCAGTCCGCCCCATCCATCCTTGCTCCACTCTGAGTCAAAAATATTATTGCTGCCGACAGAAATTGAACTCGCGTCCTTCCTCCGCTAGACAAGCAACATCACCAGTGGGCTGCATACGCGCTTAGTGATTCGATGGCGCAGCGTCTAATTTTCAACTACTCCTGCCGCCACGGTACCAATATAAAGCTAAGTACCCTATCATTATTAAATTTGAAATATTTTACTTCTATGAGCGTTAATGGCGTTGATGGGGGCAAAACTCAAGAAGCTGGCACCGCGTCAGTCAAACGCGCCACCAGCTGGGGGGCAACTGGGGTACATAGGGCCCCACCCAAAATTACCGACGAAGATTTAAAAAATAAAATATAAGCTAGTGATGAGTTAAAACTCACCACCAGCTTGGGGGGCAATTGTTGGGGGTGTTGCTAAGAGACTCCCCGCAGAGAATAAGTAATACCGCGTCCAATCGACAACGTATGACGCTCTAAACCCGCTACGAGTATATAAAGGTATGAAACCCACCAATAGGAGGGGGTCTTCTTCCCTCTCCCCTCACTTTCCACTTTCTCCTATCTCTCTACACTTTATCTCTCTATCTATTCTCTCAACTCTCTCCACAAACTGATACTGACTTGATCGTCGGAGCTTAATCCGGGGGGCAACCCCGGCTCTTTCACAGGTTCTCTCCCTCCCGACGGGATCGGACGAATGGATGACGAGTCAACCCACACCAACAATCATTATTGTTCATACCTCGAGCTAGTAGGTTCAAACATAAACGAATAAGAGGTGAACTCCCAATCTGTCATCATGGTATTAAACGAAATCTTAGTCATCTATATAAATCAATGCTTTATGAAGAGAACCAACATTAGTGTGCTCTTCCCTTCCAGAGTCCACAAAATAACACAACCCTTTTAGAAGACGAATCAAATTAACAAAAAGATCATAACAAATGCTGAAAGTCTAACCCACAAATTATCTTAATTTAAACACTCCTGATTCATTTAGACGTTAGTCCAACAGCCGGAAGAATACTATACTCCTCCCTCTCACTTGTACTCATTCGTCGGCAAGAGCAAGCCAGCAACAACTAGTGACAACATTAGGATCTATATGTTTCTCAAACACTGCCTCCTAACTCCTCTCTGCAACGGTACATAATTAAAATGAGATAAAAAACGAACAACATTTCTTTGGTGCACACTCCTGTAGTCCTGCTCTCTTTCTCTAATACTAAACACGAGTTCCGGAGTTCCGGAGATAACAAGGTCGTTGTGACCTATCTCTGCACAAACTTGTGCCAACTTGTGAGTTACAAGGTCTCCCGAGCGACTGTGAGGCAATGAGAGTAAGACGGGAATCAATCGGTGGTTGGCGACAACTAGGTTTGACAATCCTAACCCTAGATATAGAACCAAAATCAGTTGGTTAGCTTGGCTTTAGCCAAAACCCTTTGACAATTGATATCTAACACATCGCCTACCACCACAAGCTCGTTTAAGGTGCGAAACAGAACATTCGCTAGTGACATTCTTTCAAATGGCTCATTTATATGAGACATATCAATCATATTATGTGCTTCTAATTGTTTGACAAGCAAGGGAAAGCGTGAAAACCAAGGTTGTCAATCCACGGTTCGATCTGCGGGTCAATCCGGTTTGACCCAGACTTGTCTACAAAAACGGGCGCCAGCAGCCCATTGAAGTATCCGCCTGGATTTGTTCAAACCTGGATAAACTCGGTCAAGCCCTAGAGCGAGGGAGCGGGTCAGCAGGCCTGTCTTTCTACGCAGCGGCTGAACACAGAAGTAGGGATGGCAATCAAACCCATGGCCGCGGGTATCCGACCGCCCCCGACCCAGTCAACGCGGGGAATCCCCGCTTTGACCGGGTATGGGGCGGATATGGGTAAAACCCGCAAAAAGTTTGATGGGTATGGGGCGGGTATGGTTTTCGCCTCCCCCGCCCCATACCCATCCCCATACCCGCCCCACCAAGATAATTTTTTCATATATAAAAAAAATATGTGCATCAAATTATAATCTATCAATGATGATGAGGATAACTTGAGAAAAATAAATAGTAGAAATGCAATTGATTGACCACCTTAATCAAAATCTAATTCATTTCTCTCAATCCTTATTTCACTCTTTCAGTTTCCCCCTTGTCAACAAGATTATGTTAGTTAATTATTACTTAGTAGATGTATAAGAGTTAGAACATAATAATTTGTAAAACATTATACTCTATATTATGTATTAATGGATATTTTAGGATCATAATCTTTGAACCATTTTAAAAAATGACCGTGTTTTATTGACTTCATGATATAATATGTTCGTTTAGAATTATAATTAGAACTTTTCATGTAAGTTTTAGGTATAATAATGTTGGATGTACGGGTATGGGTATTACCCATGGGTACCCGAAACCCACGGGTATGGGGATGGGTTTGCAAAACATTCCCCGCTCGGGTATGGGGCGGGTATGGGTTTGGGTATTTGAAGATGGGTATGGGGATGGTTTAAGCAAACCCGTCCCAAACCCGCCCCATTGCCATCCCTACACAGAAGAGCAAAATCGAAACCCTAAATCGATCTCCTTCTCTTCTCTCCACCAGTCCGCCTCTCCTCGTTCTTCTCCCGAACCAGCAGTTGCTTCCAGTAAGTCGCCGGTACGAATCTAGGGAGTACGGGACAGAAATGGAAGGAGTGATTTGATCGACGAGTACATAAAAAGAAGAAGAATTACAGCGGAGAAAAAAAGGGAGGCGAAGGATATTGATTGGAGCGGTCAGCGGAGAAAACAAGGAAAGAGGAAGATGAGGTGAAGGGCTGGAATACAGACATACCCAGCTGACCCGAACTACTGCTTTCAAGAACAGAAAAGGGAAAAGTTTCGAAGATGGGGAAGATGGTGGCTCTCAGGTCTCTATATCGTGCAGCTTCTCGTAGATCTTCGATAGGCTTCACAGCTATTGCCGGCAACCAGCTCCTTCACCATCAGTCAGCTCCTCGATCCCTGTTCACTCTCTCTTCCACCACCGCTTCTGCGGATCGCATCGCTTCCGGTAATGCCTCTTTTTGAACCATACTTCCGGTTATGGGTTTGGGCTCTCTGAGTAGTTATTTGGTTATCAATTTCATCATCACGCTTGGAGTTATTATCTAAAAGCTGGTTTGGGGTCTTTTGAAATTCTGGGTCGATTTGGGAGCGAATTTGGTGAACTGGGTTGAATGAATCTGAGGTAATAGGAAAATGAAGCTGTAGCCTTTATCTGAACATTGCCGGGTATGTTTGAGAGGAATTTTCTTTGGTTCCTGTGTCTAGCTGTATAATTTTTTTTTTGATAAATTGTCTAGCTGTAGAATTGTACCAGCAATTGTCATCGATGTGAAATTCATCAAGGCTTATGTGAATTAGATGGATCCAATGATTGATTTTATCCACAAACGACTGTCTGTGTGATGTTGATGCTACCTTGGTAATGGTAGTTCATGCCTCTTTTAACGCGGTCTTTTCTTGGTCATGCTTGTTGTTAGGTTCTCGGTCTCCTTTGGCAATCAATATTGGTAGCAAAAGATCTTATAATGAGGATGTGGCACACTTGCCCGAGATTAAGGACCCTGATGTTTTATGTGCTTTCAAGGACTTAATGGCTGCAAGTTGGGATGAACTTGATGTGACAGTCATCCATGATGTGAAGAATGCTCTGTCGAAGAACACTGATGACAAATCCGGTCAAGAGATATTGAAGAATATTTTTCGGTCATCTGAAGCTGTCGAAGAATTCAGTGGGATGGTCATGTCTCTAAAGATGGAGCTAGATGACAACATTGGGATGAGCGGCGAGGTATGCTCATGGTTTTTCATTTGAAAGTCGTAGTTCTATATTTTGTATTCGTCAAATGGTTCTTGAAGGTTAATAATAGTTTGTAAAAATGTGTGGCACAGGATGTAAAACCGCTAACAGATGATTATGCAAAGGCAATCCGCATGTTTTTTGAACGATACTCTGCGTATTTGGAGTCATTTGGACCTGATGAGGCCTACCTGAGAAAGAAAGTAGAGATGGAATTGGGTTCAAAGATGATATTTTTGAAGATGAGATGTGCTGGCCTCGGATCAGAGTGGGGCAAGGTATTATGACTTGCTCAATTTTACTGAACGCTAATTAACTGAAATTTACGATTTAGATTATTGCTCCCTCAATCTAGCACCTTTTGCTTTTATGGGGTTCTAGGGATGTTTTCTTTCCATCTGTTTTGCCTCAAAATACTTCATGCATTTGCATATTGGTATCATCTTCTTTTTAGCGAGATTAGCTCGTCATGGCTTTAACATTTTAATGATGGTAACTGTTTTGAATCCCAGGGCTTACTAGCTTTTATCTTTTCAGTTGTGCCTCTTGAACTGTACTTGGCTGTACTTTTATGCATATTTTGAAAGCAAGCCTAAATCACTTGGTCCTGTTTTTGCAGGTGACCCTGATTGGTACTTCTGGACTTGCTGGATCTTATGTTGAACAAAGAGCTTAAAGTCCCGGAATCTGTTATCCGATTTGGCTTAGTTGCGAAAGTTTTTCTAGCTTGGAATTTGTGTTTGTCGATGGTTTCTATCAAGTTGCTGATCTTGGAAACCTTTCAAAGTGGAGTTCGATTGTAGTTCAATAAAAGCTTAGCTATTTCAAGATTTGCATTGATGTAATACTGTTCACGTCATTTCAGTTCCATTTAGCTAGGGGTGAAAGCTTGTCCCGGAAGACCCACTGACCCGTCCCGACCCGTCTCTAAGGGTCGGGACGGGTCAGTTTGTCTACAGGGACATATTAGGGACGGGTCATTTGTTGACCCTGTAAGGGTCGGGACAACTTGGGGACGAGTCACGTTTTGACCCTGTGACCCTTAGCAACAACAAATATCTGATACTTCATTGGACCTTTTTGTAAATTTTTAAAAGTTTAGGTATTAATTTGTAAAAATAAAAAAATTTGGGTACCAAAACGTAATTTTATCATCAAAATTTATGGACTTATTTGTAAAAAAATAAAATTTAGGTACTAAATTGTAAGAAAAAAATAATTTTGGGTACCAAAACGTAATTTGTAAAAAATTAATGTGTTGATTAGGGTCGACCCACTGACCCGGCCCGTCCCGTCCCAACCCTTGAGGGTCAGACAGGGTCAAGAAGGAGATAGGGACGGGACGGGAGGGTTATACATCTTGACCCTTCAGGGACGGGTCAGACAGGGACATGGACGGGACAGGGACGGGACATGCAAATTTTCAGCCCTACATTTAGCTGTATTATGGGTGAAAGGTTGGTAGTTGAAGTTGGCTTTGGTACTTTGGTGAGGCACACTGCCTAGCTAGCTGTGTAAAATCTTGTAAACATGTTCAGCTTTCTCCTATGGGGCAAAAAAAAAAAAAAAAAAACAGTGGTCACTGAGGTTAGATCTGAGGCTCTTGTTTGGGAGCTCCCTGTAGTGGGGAGGGTTGGTTACTAGTTCTCTTTTTTTTTTCCCCCCATGTCTAGAAGATGACTAGAAGATGAAGTAAGGAATTGTGGATGTCATAGAACCATAAACAAAACCACCCTGAGAAATTCTGTTTGGGAATGACGATGGATGTCTAGATAGTTATCTCAACACGTATATCTGCCTCATGAATGGTATGAGTCAAGTCGTATAATTTAGTTTACGTATAGGTCATTTGATAAGGTAGGTCAACTCTTTCTTATGTGTGGTTCGACGAAATATATGTAGAATTTCAATTATTTTATAAAGAATTAAAGGTAAAAATTATTTTAAAATAAAAGGAAGAGAATGACGAACTAAGTCTCATACCTAGTTGTGGCTAACATTAAATGTAAGATGTTACTTAAAAGAAATCAAAATAGACAAATAAAAAAACAGTATCAAAGAAAAATTTGATCATAGTAGGTTGGAGGTGGGGTTGGAGGGAAGAACCACACACTACTAGTGACTCAAATGGTACACCCACATTGTTGATGGTAGTAGATCCATAAGAAGAGCATACCACACTACTAGTGGATCAAATGGTACACTCACATAATTGATCCTAAAAGATCAAGAAGTGTATGAAAAGATACTAGTGGGTCAAATGGTACACTTACATAATTCATCAAAACGGATCAAGAAGTGCATACTATGTTACTAGTGGATGAAATCAAATGGTACACTCACATAAGTTATCAGAATTGATCAAGAACTGCATACCATGCTATTAGTGTGTCAAATGGTACACTCACATAATTCATCAGAATAGATCAAGAATTGTGTACCATACTACTAGTGAGTCAAATGGTACACTCGCATAGTTTATCAGAATAGATCAAGACGAGTATATCGTAGTGAAATTTTCATCACCAATATTATTGGATGAGTATGGTAGGTAGGGATGACAACAAAACCCGAACCCACGGGTACCCATCCGACCCAACCCGGTCAACGCGGGTAAAATTCGTGTTGACGGGTTTTGGGCCGGGTTTGGGCTTAAACTCGTTCACTATTCATCGGATTGGGTTGGGTTTGGGTTTAGGTAAATCCGACCCATGGGTACCCGTCCACACCCATATAATTAATTTTCTCGGTATATTTAATATTCTAAACAACTAATCTTATTTATGTTTGTGGAGACATGTCTAATTTTTTCTTTCTAATTATGTAGAATGAAGTTGATGTTATCGAGTGGAGAGTGAAGAAACTAAGGGGCCGTTTGCTTGTTGGATTTGAAAAATGAGGGTTTTGGCCAATAAAAACCTTGGGATTTATGTTGGATTTATTGGATTATGGATTTGAAGAGTCTAATGTTTGCATGATAGATTTGATGATGGATTTGTGATGGATTTGTTAAATAAATAACTAACCATCAAGGATTTGCAATTCCCAAATCAATATGTGGGATTTACAAGTCCGTGGGGTCCACGGATTTGGTTCCAAAATAAAAACCAAATCCGTGGACCCCACGGATTTAACACCTTTCAACAAACAATGAACTTATGTTAAATCCATCAAGCTTGGGATTTGGGTACCAAATCCATGACCCAAATCCAACAAGGAAACGACCCCTAATTGAAAGGAAGAAGCCTTCAATTAATCATGTTATTTATGAATAATTTATGATTTATTTCAATTTTCTTGAGTTTTCAAGAATGATGTTGAACAGTTTGTATAGTTAATTTTTGATTTGCTTGAATTTTCTATAATGATATTTTAAATATGGATAATTTGTATTAAGAGATTGATATTTGACTTTAATTTTGATAGGAACTTGTTATTGTAAATTTTTTATGACAAAAACCCGTGGGTACCCATGAACCGCGGATACCCAGCGGGTTGGGTTGGGTTTGAATTTTCAAACCCAGTGGGTTTTACCCGGGTTTTTTTCACGGATAAACCCATGGGTTTGGGTTTGACAAAACCCGACCCAACCCGACCAATTGCCATCCCTAATGGTAGGATACAATAAATCACGAGTGTGTCAAATAGGCTATCATTTGCTTTTTCATGAATTAAATTATAGCCCTTTTTTTTTTTAAAAACAAGAGCTAGTTACAATCTGGTTTAGTTGTCCTATACTCCTATCAAAAAGAAAAGGATAAAAAAGTTAATATATTATTTTGGCCTAAATTATGACCATATAATCAACTTTGGTCCGTGGGTTCAGAAATTAACATCATGATCTCAATTATGCAACATATAGACTCAATTGGCCCGACACATGATTTGACTGTCAATTTGGATGGTCAACACGCCATGCCATTTCTTTGTCAGCGTTAAAATCATTAAAAATTCAAATTCAAATTATTTTCCTAATTTCTATTATTTATCATTTTCAAATTAACCAAAAAATAATTTTTTTTGTTAATTTATAAAATTTATCTTTTTCAAATTACCCAAAAAATAAAAAAAATAAAAATATTTTTATTATTTTATTTTTGGCTCATTGGATAATGATAAATAATAGAAATTAGGAAAATAATTTGAATTTGAATTTTTTTAATGATTATTACGCTGACGAGGCAAAGACATGACGTGTTTACTAACGATCAATGGTGTTGACCATCCAAATTGACGGTCAAACCATGTGTTGGATCAATTGAGTCTATATGTTGCATAGTTGAGGCTATGATGTTAATTTGTGAAACCATAAGCCAAAATTAATTATATGATCATAATTCGGACCAAAATAAGGTATTAAACAGAAAAGAAATTACTGTCTTTTAAAAAAATGCCTCAAACCACAGAAGGCCCAAACTCAAGTACTCAATCCAACGGTACTCGAGGTCCAAGGGGGCATGAGTACTATAGGTTCATGTACATAACCAGGCATACTTTAATTTCTTCCAAAGTCCTCTTTCTATATTATCAAGATTTTGTCCACAATTATATTGTCATAAAAACTAATAACATTCAGAAATTATTCATATCATTGGGTCGACTATAGTGCCAGAAAACTAATAAATCCATCCATATTATTAAGGTTACATACAAAACAATGTCGTTTCACTTTTTGAGTGCGAGTCAGATGAAAAGCGAGTAAAACCACGCTCGACCAAACTAAGAACCGTCAGCACCGAATTTTACATGATTTGATCGGTCTGAGCCGAACTAGATTATCCACACCTCCGAATTCAATTGTCATCATCCCTACTCCTGCTTTCTAGAGGCAATACATTTTATATATAGTTTCACCACGTACTAATTCTCTACCTGGTAACTGATTAACACTGCTACTGCACTTCTACGACTAATGACTCAGACGTCAATAATAAAGAGAGATTAGGGTTCAAACTGCAAGGCTTAACCAATAACAGGAAACTCCATTAAGAATTAAAAAAACAATTAATAACAAGAACGGTGCCAAGTGTAAGGCTTGCCTTTGCGAATTGGAGCCTCCTGGTTGCGACAAAATATATGTGCTTTCTCCATGCATCCTTCGGCTGCCTTTACAGATCACATGGTACAAATAAATAGAGTCCTAAAAAGACCTAAACAGAACCTAAACGATAAACAGAAACCCAGGGGGAAAACGTCAACTAGGACTAGGATTATTCTATATTTCCTAACCGTGTGTTTTGTGAACGTGCCCTCCAATCACGTAGGAACAGAAGTTTAATTCATTCCACAACAAACCTTTGTTAAGTTGTTGGATTTTGACTTGGTTCATTATCCAGAACAGTAATTCAATCTTGAGGGAGAGAAGAATGAGCTTGAAATCTACCTACCCAATTCGCTATGAAATTCAGACAATAAGGAATAGCTTCCATCTTAATGAGATTAGTCGATATCAAAATACTTTGCATTGTAGGGAAGTTGTTAAGTATCATACATTGACCTCTCCCAACAACGTGAGTTATTGGGACCAGTTGGTTTGTGACATGCTATCAAAGTTGGTTTGTTCTTGAGATCACGTGCTCAAGTCCTCACGACTCCCAATATTGACAGTTGTTTTAAAGCACATGATATGAGGAGACTTGTGCAAAGCTTCAAGCTCATAAGTTGACTTTCGTTTGAGTGGGCATATAAAGAAGTGGTTAAATACCATATATTGACCTCTTTCAACTCGAGTTATTGGCACCAGAACTTAACTATCACTACAAGAAAAAGTGGTTTTTGCAACCAAAATCTTTACAACCAATGTAAAATTAGTTGCGAAAGGGCTAATATTTACAACCAATTACATTTTGGTAGCAAAAAAATTAAAAAATTGGTTGCCTATTGAAATCAAAGTATCGATAACCAAATAAACCTTGAGAAGACCAAATAATTTGGCAGCAAAATGATTTATACTTTTCTCAACCAAATAATTTTGGTAGCAAAATGATTTATACTTTCTCCAACCAAATAATTTTGGTAGCCAAATAATTTTTAGTTTATTCAACCAAATAATTTGGTAGCATATTGAATT